GGAAACAAGTTCCCTGCGCCAGGTGCAGGGGGCGTTGGAGGACGGGGGCGGGGCTCAGGCAGAGCGAGCTTCCGGGGCCGGATGCGTCCGTGAGCCACTGCAGCTCCTGGGAGGCAGAGTTGTATTCGGGGCATTGGAGGAAAGAGATCCCAGGGCGGGCTACAGAAAGAGCAGAAGCAGGCCCGGGGTCCCTTTGGAATCTGCGGCTGGGCCCGCTGAGCACAGGAAGGACCTCGAGCCCCTCGTGTGGCCGCACAGGTACTGAATGCGTTCCCAGTGCTCCTGCGTATCCCGGGGCTGGCCAGCAAGGTCTTGTCAGGACCCAAGGAGTTTATGGCCCTGATACATGAGATGATCGCCGAGCACCGGGAGACTCGGGACGCAGCCCAGCCGCCCCGTGACCTGACTGACGCGTTCCTGGACGAGGTGGAGAAGGTGAGGGGCGGCTGCCTGCTGTTGGGACGATGGGCTCCAGGGCAGCCCCCAGGGACGGGGACGTACTGACAGGAGCGGGGTGGAAACCATCAGGGGCTTCCCCTCCTTCTCTGGTCTGACTCTCTCCGCCTGGCACAGGCCAAGGGGAACCCGGAGAGCAGCTTCACTGAGGAGAACCTGCTTCTGGTGGTGGCAGACCTGTTCTTCGTGGGATTGGTGACCACCTCCACCACGCTGGTCTGGGCCCTGCTGCTCATGCTTCTGCACCCTGACGTGCATCGTGCGGAGCCTGGGGCCTGATGGGGGCTGGGCGTTGGGGGGATGGATAGGTTGGCCTCCCCTGCACTTGAGCTTAATGGAGATACCAGGGCCCTCAAGCAGAGGCTCGGCCATGGCTGTTGTCACTACGGGGTCCTCCATGTAGGCACAGTCTGCACAGAGGGACTCACCCTAGGGCCCTGGTAGGCTCAGGGTTTGGGCCCCTGGGTCCTGGCTCACCTGGGGACTCCTTCTTGTCTGCCCAGGTCGTGTCCAGGAGGAGATCGATGAGGTGATAGGGCAGGTGCGGCCACCTGAGATGGAGGACCAGGCCCTCATGCCGTTCACCACAGCCGTGATCCACAAGGTGCAGCGCTTTGGGGACGTAGTGCCTCTGGGTGTGCCTCACATGACCTCTCGTGACACTGAAGTGCAGGGCTTCCTCATCCCCAAGGTAGGGGTGCAGACACTCTCACCCCAGCTCAGTGCCCCCTGCCAGCTCATAACCCCGGCATGGCCTTTGCCAGGTGAAGCCCAGACAGGCACCAGGCTGTCCGTCATCCATCCCCAGGCACCTGAGAGTGTGCCCAGCCCTGTGGGCGTCGAGTACCCAGCAGAGGCAGGGCCAGTCCTGTCCAGAGCCTCTGTCTGGTGGAAGACAAACTGAACACGCCACAGAGTGGGGGAGTGCCCATGGGACCTTGGGGACGGGGAGGCTCACAGGGAGCTACTTGGGCTGAGTGCCCCTTGAAGGAGTCCAGGGTGAACCAGGCAGATCGTGTGTGTGCCCACGTGTGTAGTGGGGGCCAGGGTCACGGCATCCCCTGTCCAGGCCCCACCCACACCAGGCATGTCCTGGGCAGGGGACCACGCTCATCGCCAACCTGTCGTCAGTGCTGAAGGACGAGGCCGTCTGGGAGCAGCCCTTCCGCTTCCACCCAGAACACTTCCTGGATGCCCAGGGCCACTTCGTGAAGCCAGAAGCCTTCATGCCCTTCTCAGCAGGTGCCCGTGGGGTGCCTGGCTCCCGGCCCCTTCCTGAGGGAGATGGAAACGGGGACCCCAGCCCCCCAAGTTTGCTGAGCCCCATGCCCCCCACAGGCCGCCGCTTATGCCTCGGGGAGCCCCTGGCACACATGGAGCTTTTCCTGTTCTTCACCTGCCTCCTGCAGCGTTTCAGCTTCTCGGTGCCTGCCGGACAGCCACGGCCCAGCGCCCACGGCGTCTGTGGCTTAGTGGTGTCCCCACCCCCCTACCAGCTCTGTGCTGTGCCCCGCTAGAGGCACCAAGCCCCAGCCCGCTCCCCAGCTTCACCCTGACCGACAATAAACCACCTGTGTGTCTGGGCCCCACCCGTGCCCCCACCAGGCCTTGCAGACAATTGGGCTCAGCAGCCTGTGGCCGTCACTCCCTGTCCCCTGCCGTGGCCAGTCTTCCAGACCTTTGGTGAGGTGGCTGTGCAGGGCCCTGACGTCAGCAGCCTGCCCGGTGCTTCCTCTCATCTGTCATCAACACCCACACATCAAGCCTGTCTCCACCCATCGCTCAGCCAGAACTAGCCCATCAGCCACCTCACTTTGGGCCAGGCTCAGGAGCTACGAGTGGGTCTTTAGGTGACGCTGTTCTCTGGGAAGGACCTAGTGCCAGCTCAGGAGAAAGCCACCGCGTTGAGCCTGTCCCCCTCCCTGAGTTTGGGCCGGCCCCACCCAGCTCTACAGCACTGCTCACCTCCAGACCCTGCTGGAGCCCACATGGGCACTCAGCCCGGCTCCACGCCCAGCCCTCACCTTTTGTGTGGCAGAGTCACACAGGCCCCACAGGCGTAGTACCCCTGGAGTGAGGGCCACATGGACCTGTGGGGCACTAGTTGTGGCAGAGGGCTGTGTGGGCCTGTGTGATACAGGGAGCCTGGCTCTCATCCTGGCGCTGCCACCGACTGTGGCCCTGACAATCGCTCCGGGCCCTGCGCTTCCACTTCCCCTTCTGCCAAGGTGTGGGTTGCCCCAAGTGGCCAGAGGTCTCCTGCTGCAGCCTTTGCTGGCCTGTAGCCCCGGAGCATGGACAGGGACTGCTGTCCTCCGTCCTCAGTCCCCCTCCTCGCAAGTGCCTCTGGGTAGGCTCGCAGGCAGATGCACCCAAGCATCTATAACGGCCGTCTCATCACCCAAGTCTTGGGCAGGCCCTCTGACACATTAGGATAACACCCTGGGTCAGAGACCAAGGATACCGAGGGCTAGAAACCATCACAGGGGCCCCTCGTGCCAAGAGATTCCCTGCAGGATCCCTGAGTGGCTCTTACTAGTGTCCTTAAATGCCCTCAAGACAGGGAGCTCCCCCTTTGGCAGCACAGAGAAGGGGGACCGTCCCTAGGCTTTGGGTCAGAAGCCCAGTCAAAGCTCCCTTGATCCCTTCCACTGTCATGTCAGGGAAGGGTGGCAGGTGGTGGTGCACGGTGTGATGGACAGACTGAGAGAAGACATGGGCCCGGAGGGAGGAGCTGGGCCTAAAAGCAGCAACTCGTAGAATTTATTAGACACTGTGTCACTTGTGTTTGTAAGTCTTGGCAATGTTGGAGATGGGGAACTACCCCAACTAGAGCTTTCTCAAGAGCTGAGGTCCCCAGCCCCCTCACTGTGCCACCTTTCTCTCCACCTCAGAGGCCTCTAAAAAGCACAGACGGGTGCCCTGTGGGTCCCTTGCTGGGAGAAACCTTTCCTGGGCCTGGGAACCCCACCCCGTCAGCATGGAGAGAAGGGTACGTTATTGAGCCAGCCCAAGGGGATAGCCTTGGACCTTCCAACCAGAGAGGAAGGCAGAGTGCTGGGTCCGCTCCGAAGGACAGAAGGCTGGGGCATCTGCTACCTGGCTTCTTTGCTGCACCCTTCCCCCAGGGCAGGAAGGTACAGAGAGGCAGGGCCCTGTGACCCCAGCAGGGCCCGGGTAGGGGGGCAGGCAGGGTAGGGTCAGCAGTCTCACCACAAAGATCTACAGCAGCTGCCATTGGGCCCTTTTTTGTTTCCTGGGGAGCAAGGGGGGGCACAGCAGTGGGCCAGGGCCAAGCATGCTGCCTCACCTCCACATGGAGCCCCTTGCTCTAGGGGGCAACAGCGGGGCCAGGTGGTCAGGAAGGTACCCCAGTCTCCACTCCCTCCCTTCCCCACAGCACCAGCCCAAGTGGCCCAGGGCTTCTCTGGGGGACCCATGCTAGGCTGTCCCTTCCTTCCCAGCAGGGAGTCCTTGCCAGCTCCTCCCCCAGTCACTCCCTTAGCAAGAAGGGGCCTGCTGCAACCTGCTCCGGGGACCTCCTCTCCCCCTTCCCCTCTTCCAGAGTCCAAGGGTCAGGCTCCTTGTGCGCAGTGAGAGTCAGACCTCCCTGTGCCCCGGGGGTCATGGCCTGCTGGGGGGGGGGGTAAGAACACTGAGTGAGGGTGGAAAGCCTCATCCTTCCCGTTCTTCACCAGTTTCCTGGACGTCCTTCCCTTCTCGGCTCCAGCTGAGGCAGGATGGGGAGTTTCCTTGAAGGGGCGCTGGAGGAGACAGCCCCAGCCCCAGGCCCTTCCTGGGCAGGGTCACTTACCTTCAGGACCTGCTGCTTCTACGCTTGAATGTGCATCTCTACAAAGGGAAACAGGACAGGTGAGACCCAGCTAGGGGCAGCTGGGGTCCTTCCTGACCCACCTGGCCTCTCTAGGTGCAGGCCCCCTCACGGGACAGCCACCCCACTGTGGGGAAGTAGAGTCCGCATGCTCACCCGAGTGGTCAGGAGGCAAGCACTCACCCATCAACCCCCTCACCAGCCTTATGGTCTCCCCTGTGGGCTGCGAGACAAAGAGGGAGGCTGAGGTGAGATCGGCCTCGGTCCACTGTCGATACCTGCAGAGAGACGACGGGGTGTTTAAGGAGAACCTCTACAGAAAGCTTCAGAAGAACTACCATTGATATCTTCAGAAAGATAAAGTTTTGCATTTAGGAAACGTCTCTAGGAAAGAAATACTCAAACAATAACATCTGCAAACTCTTGGAAAGTAGCAAGTATTGTTGTTAGGTGCTGTCATGCCAGTTCCAAGTCACAGCTACCCTGTGTACAGCAAAACACAACACTGCCCCGCCCTGCCCCATCCTCACAATTGTCGTTTGAGCCCATCGTTGTAGCCACTGTGTCAGTCCATTTCATTAAGGGTCTGCCTCTTTTTCACTGACCCTCTACTTTTAATCAAGCATATCCTCCAGGGACTGGTTCTTCCTGATAACGTGTCCAAAATACATAAGATGAAGTCTCAGCTTTCTTACTTCTAAGGAGCATTCATCTAAGATAGACTTGCTCATTCTTCTCACAGTCCATAGTATGTTTCCCTCAAAGAGCTAAATAACAGATGTTTCAGAAAGTGGGAACAGACAACCAGCCAGGATGGTAGGAAAGATAACAAATAAATTCCTTTTGTGTTAATAAAATTTCCAAGAACTGAAGGACATGAATTTCCAGAAGAGAGGGGCTCACCAAGTGTCCAGGAGAATGGACAAAGGAAGACACATGTCAGATTTTGTCATCAATAAATTTCAGAACACTGAGGACAAAGGGAAGAACCTAAAAACTTTGGAGATACAGAGACAGAAGATGTCTCAAAATTAGAAATTCCATGCCAAGAAATTTGGAAGACAGCTACCTGGCCAACTAACTGGAAGGGATCCATATCTGTGCCCATTCCAAAGAAAGGTGATCCAAAGAATGCATAAACTGCTATTGTCATTAATATCACAAGCAAGTAAAATTTTGCTGAAGAAAATTAAAAACGGTTGCAGAAGTACAATCAACAGAGAACTGCCAGGAGTTCAAACCAGATTCAGAAGAGAGGGTGGGATAAAGGATCACATTGCTGATGTCAGGTGGATCTTGGCTGAAAACAAGGAATACCAGAAAGGTGTTTACATGTGTTTCATTGACTTTGCAAAGTCATTCCACATACGGTGTGGATCATAAGAAATTATGGATAACACTGCAAAGAGTAGGATTTCCAGAACACTTAACTGTGCCCATGAAGAACCTATACATAGGCCAGGAGGCAGTCATTTGAACAGAACAAGGGGATAGTGCATGGTTTAAAATTAGGAAGGGTGTGAGTCAGGGTTGTATCCTTTCACCATACTTATTCAAGGAGCTCTGGTGGCGTAGGGCATAAGGCATTTGACTGCTAACCAGAAGGCTAGTGGTTCATACCCACCAGTCTCCTCAGAAGAAAGACTGGGCAATCTACTTCCATAGAGATACCACCTCGGAAACCCAAGGAGGGGTCACTATGAGTCGTAGTCAACTCAACAGCAGTGAGTTTGGTTTGGTTTTGGTATGCTGAGCAAATAATCTGTGAAGGTGAACTGGATGAAGAACAACACAGCATCAGGATTAGTGGAGGAAGACTCATCAACAACCTGTGATGCAGATGACACAACCTTGCTTGCTGAAAGCAAGAGGATTTGAAGCACTTCCTGATAAACATTAAAGACTACAACCTTCAGTGTGGATTACGCCTTGCATAAAGAAAACAAAAATCCTCACAACTGGACCAACAAGCAGTATCATGATAAATAAAAGATTGAAGTTTCAAGGATTTCATTTTACTTAGATCCACAAGCAATGACCACAGAAGCAGCAGTCAAGAAATCAAGCCACGTATTACATCGGGTAAATCTGCTGCAAAGGACCTCTTTAAAGTGCTTAAGAGCAAAGATGTCACTTTGAAGACTAAAGTGTGCTGACCCAAGCCATGATATTTTCAATAGCTTCATATGCATGTGAGAACTGGACAATGAATAAGGAAGACCACGGAACTGATACATTCAAATTGCAGTGTTGGGAAGAATACTAAGATAAGGGGAAAATCCCAAAAGATGGACTGACACAGTGTCTGCAACGATGCCCTCAAACAGAAACCTTTGTGAGGAAGGCTCAAGACCGAGCAGTGTTTAGTTCTGCTGTACATATGATCACTGTGAGTCAAAACTGACTTGATGGCAAACTGTGATAGGTGGTAGCTGTGTGTCAACTTGGCTGGATCACAATTCTGTGTGGTTTAAGCAATTGTGATGTGGGTTGTTCCAATGATGGGATCAGATGTATATGTTTTGAGCAGCCAACCTATTGAAAGGGAGTCTTCCTAGGAGTATAGCCTGCTTCCAGTATATTTATGGACATCCTGGGAAAAGAGACACTCTTCTGTGGATCAGGATTCTGTTATGCTGCCTACAACTGTCCATGAGCGAACAATCCACCATTCGGCCTGGAGAT